TATTAATCTTTTTCCATGACTCGGGCGAAGTATTGTAACACCATTATTATTTAAAAAATCTTTTGATTCACTTGGTAAGGAAGAAATTAGTGTTCGAAGAACGGCAGCCCAAAAGCTATAAGCGCCTTCGCGGAAACCATCATGACGTCGTGATGTCCAGAGGTTCCTCCAAAAAATTTCAACGGCAATCTCACCGAATTTTTTATTCACCGTAAGACAAGAATGAAGGGAATTAAAATCATGTTTAATATAGTTTATTATTTCTAATAAATAAAATTTTTTATTAAATAAAAATTTTATAACTGAGTAAAACCTACAATAAAAACTTATAAAAGTAGTTATATTATTAATATAGATTATTATCTAATATAGTAAGGGGACTATCACTTATTATCTAAATATAGCCCTTCTCCTCTAGGCTAACAATTTTCCTAATTCTAGTACTCTAGAAGTTAATTTCGCCCAAAGAGGGGGGGCTATATTTACGTAATAAGTGTTAATTCTCTAACTAACTCTAACTAATCTATTACCAATTCTAACTAAATAAAATTTGTATTAACAATATAACTAATGTATGTAATATTACTAAATTAACAGCTAAGGGGAGTGACAAAAATCAGCTGATTTTTTAGGGGGGGAGAGGGGTAAAAAAAGTTAAAATTATATATAAAGACCTGATCAAATATATAATAAGAAGAGAGGAGGGGAGGTATGCCTCTGATAAAAATAAATCAGGTGATAAATGACACTGCCTTAACTTAAAACTTCTTTTAGCTATTCATAAGATAAACCTAATACCATATTGCTATATCTTACACATAGGCACATTTAGTAATTTTATTTTAATATTGTCTGCTACTATTGTATTTATATTTTATATTACTTTTTAGAGTGCTATTATAATACAATCTGTATTTTAAACACAATTTTTCTAATTAGTTCTCCTATTACTTATTTTTTACTCTTTTTAAGATTCACAAACCCCAGTACTATATTTTATTTTTTTGTATTCTGTATTTTTAGTTTGGTCTTCCAATTCAGATAGCTTGGAGAGATTGGTTT